GATGTGATACAGCAATCTGTATACGGGGCAAAAGTGGGAGTTCATAACCCACTTGAATCAAACCGTGTAATATGATGTATTAAGAACTATGTAATGTTTTGAACGACCAATAATAAAAAAAAAGGCAAACTGAACTTAGCAGTATTATAAAAATACATAGGCATGATCCAGTTGAATTTAGCCCAAGAAAGCAAAGATGATCTCAGACCAGCATATCTGTTAATGCATCATTGTGTCAGGCAGAATATAAGACAATGCTATTATAAGGTAATCCCTGTTTTCTCAGTGAGAAGCTTCAAATATTACTTCTGACAACCTGAATAAATAAAATGTTAGAGTTGTTCATAAAACAGTCAACTCTCTATTTTAAAATAGTTATGCATATGTACGTGGAATCATGTAACCAAAGAAATATTGATCTTAAAATATTTTTCATTCCCACATACTATGAAAATATTTTATTCCATATCTTCCCATGCATTCTTGACACCAATATCTCCATTTTTACAAAAGCCACTTGGAGATATTTAACATTGTCTTCCAGAGCTACCTTCTTCATTTCTGAGGATACTTCAGCCTACGAGTGATATATTAATCAATGCATATTTTCATTTCAGGAAACTATTTGTCCCTAAAATTGTGTAATGGTGATCTCTACAACAAAGCCTTGTTTTATAAATTCATGACCTCCAATTTTTGCAATTATAAGGTCATTTCCCAGGAATAAATGCATCCTGGTCTCTGTTTTACTGATTATTTCCAGAGACTTCTATAGGTATTCAATACCAATGTGATCAAAATGCTACATAGCAGGCTCTTCAAAATAAAATAAATTGAGAAGGACACCAGATTATGAAAGATCTTATAAGGAATTAAGTATAAGATGCCTCCTTCTTTTCAGAAGGATAAGTTTTGGGAAAAAGATAAATTTTATCTTATATTCAACCTTTTTCAAAACAAGGAGCATCCACTGTAGAAACCATATATATGGTATATACATATATACTATAACATCATGTTGTATACCTTAAACACACACAATGAAACTTTTATTATTTAAATGAAAAACAAGAAGCACTTGGAAAATAATACTGTTTGGATGGCATTAAAGTAACTGAACAAGTCTGCTCAGAGTGGACACCATCCTATCCCTGCCCAGCTCCACAGGAGGTCACTATTGCAGCCCACAATGGGGGAAGCTCTGCTATATAGGAAGGTCTGATAAAAATATCAGGATCATCATCTCCAAGGCAGGATGTTTCAGTGAACTCAGAACCACAGAAGCTTGGTTCTGCCTGGCTGTATCACTTGGGCAAGTTACTTAACCTCTTTGTTCTTCAGTTCTTACATTTGCAAGATGGGATTATAATAACCCTCGGAGGATAGATTATTGACAGGATTAGTTTAACTAATTTAGGTAAAGCACTTAGAATTAGGTCCTGAACATAGTAAACACTCAATTAATGCTATATTTAAAAAACATGCCTAATTAAAAGCAAAGAAAAACAACTCATAAAAAAACCAGAAAACTAGAGTAGAATACCAAGTTGATTCCTCAACAAGTCCCCTCATCCCTACATAGTCACCATCCAATAAAATTTACCAGATAATAAACCCTGACCTCATGCTAAAAATTTCCAATCAAATTTTTAAGTAGGCAAGGATCACTAGGTATTTGAGAAAACCACTTTCATGAGAGGCRAACTAAAATAGAACATAGAGAGTTTTATGAGAGAGAGAAAGAGAGAAATATAAATAAACTTTTAAAAATATTATATATAAGCTGGACTTAATGGTGCATGCCTGTGATCCTAACTTCTCAGGAGGCTGGTGCAGGAAGATCACAAGTTCAAAGCCAGCCTCAGCAACTTGGTAAGACCCTATCTCAAAATAAAAAATAAAAAGAACTGGGGATGTAGTTCAGTGGTACACCTGGGTTCAATCTCCAATACTGTCATTGTTGGTGGGACTACAAATCAACTACTCTGGAAATCAGTATGGGTATGGAGATTTCTCAAAAAACTAGGAATGGAACCACCATAAGATCCAGCTATCCCACTCCTCAATATATATCCCAAAGATCTAAAATCAGCATATTATAGAGCTACAGCTACATCAATGTTTATACAATTCACAATAGCCAAGCTAGGGAACCAACCAAGATGCTCTTCAACAGATGAATGGATAAAGAAAATGTGGTATATGCACACAATGGAATATTACTCAGCCATAAAGAAGAATGAAACTATGGCATTTGCCAGTAAATGGATGAAACTGGAAACTATCATGTTAAGTGAAATAAGCCAGACTCAGAAAGCCAAAGTTCTAATGTTTTTTTTTTCTGATATGCAGAAGCTAGTCCAAATTAAGGAGGGGGTAGGTGGGAAAGAAATAGGGTRGGGGATTCCATCAAAATAGAAGAAACATGGGTGGACTAGATGAAGGGGACCAATGGGGAGAGAAAAGGGATGGATGGATGGAACAGAATGAATCTGACCTAACTTCCCTATGTACATATATGAATATATTGAAGTGAATCTCACCACCATGTACATCCATAAAACACTAACTTAAAAAAAAAAGAAAGAAAGAAAGAAAACCCCTATAAGTAAATAGCAGAAAGATCAGTAGAGTAGAAGGAATGGAAGACGGGGAGGGAAGAGGGGAGGAAAAGGGGAAACACGGGGGACTGAGTAAGAACAAATTATATTCCATACACATACTCATGAAAATAATGGTAATACATCAGCTTTGGAGAAGTAAATTATATATATATATATACACATATATACATATATATAATAAACTGCAGTTAGAATTTGTTTTAATAAGGAAATGCTATATATATTATATATATATATAATATATATATAATAAAAACAAAACTTCACAAAAAAAGGAATTATCAAAAACAAAAAAGTTCTTGGTAATTAAAAACACAGCAGTTAAAATAAATTCAATTAAAAATATACACAATACTGATCAGGAAATTTTCCAAACAGTGGAAGAAATAAAAAGATAACAGAAATAAAAACTAAAAACTCTAGAGGATTGACCTAACATCTAATTAGCAGGAATTCTATAATGAGGATGGGGAGAGGTGAGGTGAAGGGTCAAACAATTGCAAAATAATTAATATAAGAAAATTTCCCATTAGAAAAGGTTGTGCATTTTCAGATAGAAAGTACTTTCCAAGTAGACAGCACAATGAATAAACAAAGACCTACACCTATCATGGTGAAATTTTAGAAAACTGTGCTAATGAGAGGGGGGAAAATCGAATACATAACAGATTAGGATCAAAAGGTCATGGCCATAATGAAAATGATTTTCAAAAGTTATCTCTAAGTCCTGAGATCACAAATTTTCTTTCTCATTTCTTTTGTTTTCTGTAATCAACATGTATGACTTTTATTGTCAGAAAACAAATACAAAATAAATCTATAACTGGGGATTCAAGCCCCAATTTAACTGGCTCCATTTCTCATCTGTCTCCATGTCACAATCTGTCTCTTTGCACTGATACAAAGTCCCCTCCAGTCAGTCACAGTCACGGTCATAGATGGCCTGGCTGCAGTGAGGTAAGAACAGACCACTACAGGGACTCGCCACCCAGCTGCCCTGGGCATCAGCGATGTCCATCATTTACTCGGTCAGCGAGTGCTTGTTTTTGAACATACTCCCAGAATATTTTAACAGCTGAAGGAGAGGAGGACAAGCCCGTAATTCTTTTTCCTTAGACACATCTTTCTATCCATTATGACCATGTCTCCCCTACTGCAGTTAGAATTTGTTTTAATAAGGAAATGCTAACTGCTCCCATCTGTCTTCATTCCACTTATCGAACACCATGTCCTAGGCTTTGCCTAGAGATGAGTTTCCTATTGACAGACTTACCCGTGGAAAAGATGAACACTGTGTTGTTCCAGAGTCCGTGTTTTTTTAAGGCTGCAGTGACATTTCCTACTGCTTCATCCATAAGGGACACCATTCCTGCATAGTGATGCCTGTTCTTATTCTGGATAAAGTCATATGGCTTCAGGTATTCTTCAGGCACCTGAAGGGGCTCATGGACAGACTGGAGAGCAAGGTAGAGAAACAGAGGCTGGAAAGAGAGGTTGTACGCATCAGTTACAAGGGCATGGAAGAATTAAACACAGAAGGATAAGACACTCTAGATTTATCATAATAAAAATAATATCAAGACAACCTGCAGAATGCATTGAAAATATTTGTGAGTCATATATGTGTTTAGGGACTCATATCCAGAATATAGAAACAACTCTTGCAACTCAATGACAAAAAAAAATTAACTGGACTATAAAATGGGCAAGGAATTTGAAGAGCTATTTCTCCAAAGAAGGTAGTTAAATAGCCACAAGCACATGAAAAGATGTCAACTTCATTAATCATTAGAAAATGCAAAACAAAAATGCAAAACCACAGTGAGATACCACTTCAGACCCTCTAGGATGGTTTTAATTTTAAAAATGGAAAATAACAATAATGTTGGTGAGGATATATAGAGAAATTGGAATTCTCCCTCATTGCTAGAAGGATATCTATACTGGAAAAAAAAAGCAGTTTGGGAGTTCCTGGACTTGTTAAACATGGGTTATCATATGACCTAGCATTTCCATTTCTTCAGAAATGAAAACATATCCACAAACTTGTATGAAGGTTCATTGCAACATTACTCATAATAACCAAAAAGTAGAGACAGCCCAAAGTCCATGCATTGATTAGAAAAATAAAATATGGTATAGTTTCAGCATACATGTCAGTAAAGGAAATAAAGTATACAACATAGATGGACCTTAAAAACGCACTAAGTGAATGAGGCCAATCACAAAAGACCACGTATTGCATAATCACATATTTATATGAAATGTCTAGTAGGCAAATCCATAGGAAATAGATTAGTAGTTGCCTGGGGATGTAGGAAATTGTGGGGAGAGCATGATGAGTGACAGCTAATATGTTTAAGGTTTCGGGGGGGTGATGAAAATGTCTTAGACTCAGATCAAGGTGATGATTGCACAACTCCTGAACTTACTGTGGAACTATAAACTTTTAATGGGTGAATTTTATCATATACAAATTATGTGTCAATAATAATGTTTAAAAATATAACAAAAGATATAAGATAAATAAGTAAATAAAATAAAGCCAGAGTCCTAGAACAGCCTGGTCCAAACAAATAATAATATCATAATAGCATCTATATATTAAATGTTATCTATGTATTAGATACTCTGATAATAATTAAGATATTATCTCTTATTTACTTTTTAATTGACTTTATTTTTTAAATACATGACAGAGGAATGCATTACAATTCTTTTTACACACATAGAGCACAATGTTTCATATCTCTGTATATAAAGTATGTTCACACCAATTCATGTCTTCATACATGTACACATTCCATCACATTCCACCATCATTGCAAACCCCCTACCTCCCTATTCCTCTCCCACCCCTCTGCCCTATCTAGAGTTCGCCTATTCCTCCCATGCTCCCCCTCCCTACCCCACTATGAGTCAGTCACGTTATATCAGAGAAAACATTCAGCATTTGTTTTTTGGGGATTGGCTAACTTCACTTAGCATTATCTTCTCCAACACATCCATTTACCTGCAAATGCCATGATTTTATTCTCTTTTATTGCTGAGTAATATTCCATTGTGTACATATGCCACTTTTTAAAATTTATTCATCTATTGAAGGGCATCTAGGTTGGTCTCACAGTTTAGCTATTGGAATAGCTAAATAGCTCTATGTAATATCCATTTCATAGATGAGTTAAGTTTAAAAAGTTATATGACTTGCTCAAGCCCACATTAATTGAAGAGCAATTTTCTGTTGCAAACCACACTATTACTATATGGCTACCTATCAAAAGATGCTTTACCCTTTTGCTTTAGCTGAAAATAAGTCCCTACCTTTTAGGAAAGTTTTATGGTTCTTASGTATTTTATGAGAAAACAAGTAAACACCATGCCTTGTTAGTTTGATGTAGGACTAAACGTAAGACCAACTCAACTCCTGGAAATTATCTGTAATCCACCTATTCTTTTTTATCTTTGATGCCAAGTTAAGGCACTGAACATCTGTGGTATTCCAGGCCAGTTTCTCCTTTTAAAAAGGAGAATAAAGGTATTCCCTTTATTGTGCTCCTACCGAATTCTTCAATGAGTTGGAAACCCTCAAAGAGACAAGGTGTTCAGGCCAAGAATAAACATGTAATTCTGTTAAAGTATCTGAGGTATTTAAATCTCATACATGAATGGGAAAAGGTTAGAAAGCAGATGGGAGGAGCTCATATTTCATTCTTCATTGTTAAGTTATTTTAAATTATATATTATACATCCCTGTGATGGAGTAAGGAATGTCCACATAGAGAAAGAGCAGCAGGAGAGGAGGACAGGTGAAGGCCAGAAAGGCCTTGTTGATGAGTCATCTTCCAGTGTCCCTCAGTTCAAAGTACTCGGCATGCCAAATGCAATGCTTACAGGTACCATTTCCTGAGCCCCGACACTTGCGAACATAAGTCTATGACCCAGGGTGGAGGAGGAACAAGAGAGGGAGAAAGGAGAAGATTGACCTATCGGGTGAAGGGTTAAAATATGCTATTCTGGCATTTGATGATTTAAGTTAAAGGCACTTGAAAAACAGCAGGTGCAAGATCACTTCGATCTTCGTGCTGCTTCTTAAAAGCAGAAATGGAAACTCCCAATGTAAAGACACTCACCTGTATTAAAGGAAGGGCCACAGCCTTATCCTCAAGGTCAGGGAGACCAAATGGAGAGAATTCTGCACAGACCTTGTTAAAATAACCCTTATCTGTAAAGCCTCCCACATAATTTAGTCACATTTCCATTTTACTATTTTTGTCCAATTTGGCATATATGTAACTGCCTCACCACTTCTTTGGGGCCTTCACTTCATTATGTTGAACCATATTATGCTTTCCTCCTGCTATTCCATTTTAGGTCAGTTTAATTCTGGGACCCAGCTGGGACTCTATAGGATAGAGGTGGAGATTTTCTGCCCTGCACAGGTCACTAGCAGCAACATGGCTAAAGAAGAGGAGGGGGAAAGAGGGCATGTTGTCACAGTCAGCAAGGGATTTGTAAAGGTAATGCAGAGAAGGATGGTAGGGAGAGCCCTTGTAACCACACAAGGAAAAAATGATTCTGGAGTCACTATTAAAGAGTCTTGCAAATATTCAGCATGGAAATCGTTCTACTCACTTTGTTAAACACATTTCAAAAAGAAACTTGGAAACCTTTTCCATGATTATTCCTTAGTGGCTAAAAACATCACCCTTTCTCTTGGGAGGCTAAAAATATAAAACTACAGCAGCCTCCATGATACAGTGGTCAGATTTCTATTGATTCAAACAGAAGGGACATAACAGAGGAGTGAAAACCAGCTCTGAAGGGTGAGGTGACTGTCGCAGGCTATGCAAAGGCTATGTAAAGCACTACCTGCTGGCCAGATCCTGATAACTTAGTCTCCTAAGACAAAATGTATTCTTTGAACAAATAATTATCTTTTCCCCCATCTCATCAGCAACAGTCTACCATTTACTGTGGGCACTCAGTCTTTCACACATGTGTATGGCTTTAGGTCACCCGGAAGAGACAGAATAATGTGTAGTACAGCAGCCTATCTCACAAAATTAGGACAAAGAAACACACTTGAGATACTATGGGGGGAAAAAACTTTTCAGCACTCAAGTGAATGTTATTCATGAAACAACTCATTATTCATCAGAACTAAATGAATGCATTTCTATACTATTTTTAAAATGGAAAAAAACATATAGCGCTTTTATTACCACATGGTGGCCCAGTAGAAAGAGCAGTTAGCTAGGGCTCCAAGGTTCTCCAGCCACCATCAGGACCTTGCTACAGTCACTTGGCCCACAAGCCTCCCTGTAACCAGCTGTAGCTGAGCCTCAGCTCACTGTTGGCCCAAAACAAATCGCTACCATCCTGGGGATGGGTTCCTTGTTACTATGTCTATGGACTGGAGTCCCAGCYCACCCTTGCTTGGCCTTGGAGACCGGATGGCCCCTCTGACATAACTGCAGCCCTAGCTGCACGTTAGCCTCCACTGATCTCTGAGTTCATGCTGGAGCCTCGTCTCTCCTTTGCTTTCCCTTGGGTCTGTATTCCTGTTCTCATCAACTTAGTCATAACTGTACCATTGCAGGTGTCTTGGGAATATAAAATGTAATCCTAGATGTGAAATCATGACTAAATACTTAGTATTACATAAAAAAAAGTTCAGTATTATCACCCAAGGCTATTAATATATTCATGTTTAAGACACTAGAGGTTCTCTGACCTTTCCTATTATGCCAAATGGCTCCTTAAGACACATACTCTAAATATACCTGCCCCGTGATAAGAAGCTTTATATCAGGGAGGAAGAAACATTTATTTTCATTTCTTTATATATTTTCTCAAAGTATAAATGGGGAAAAACATATGAGAGGTGTTGACATTATTATTCTATCTTTAATGTTCAAATGAAGACATTCTTTTCCAAATTGTGCCAGGATAAAGTAAGAGTCTTCCATTAGAAAATAGCATTTTCTTTTAGAGAGCTTCTAGTAGATGATATATGTTGGATAACATTTGTTGTTATTCCGCAAAGCACTGTGGGGACTGCTTTTTTTCGTCTTTTTTCTTTCTCTCTCTCTCTCTCTCTTTAGTTGTAGAAGGACAAAATACTTTTGTTTGTTTATTTTTATGTGGTGCTGAGGATCGAACCCAGTGTCTCACACATTCGAGGCAAGTGCTCTACCGCTGAGCCACAACCACAGCCCATGGGAACCATTTTCAACAGGAAGATATGTTATGAACATGCTACTATGTAATGTTACTGCTGTGGAATCATCATGCAGAAGAGGAGAAAGAATGGTTCTTCCTAACCCATGCAAAGTCACTCTGTTAGTGTGACCCTGAGTCCAGCAACAGCAACTGTGTTGGTACAAAACACTCCATATGCTTTCCCCCCTCAAGTGCCCTTTTAAAATAGGCACAGTTTTAAGTTGGCCTGTGTTTCTTTAATGACTTCCAACCTGAACAAGTGGCCTATGTTACAGTCTATAAACAGCACCTGAGACATTAGCACAGAATTAAACACTGATTAAGATGATGAAAAGCAYAGCTCCTGAAAATGGTGAGATGCATTGTTTTATTGAGAACTGGTAATGTAAACACAGGCTGTCTTAAGCAAATATTTTGGGGTTACTACTCAACTATTAATTATGTCATTCATTCATATTTGTGTTTGAAACTTTGAACACACTGGGAATGATATGATGGAAAGTTCTTCAGCATGTTTCAGCTGTAGGATAAGGACCATCCTGTCACCTGGTGATTTCCATAATGCTGTCTATGAACAGCATCATGCTAACAGCACCCCTTCCAGGTCTTGCAAGCTCTCAGGGCCTTCCGATGTCCTCAGTTCTAATGCTTTCCCCATTGTCCCAGTTAAGACAGTTCACCCAGAGAGCTATCTCACCCCATCTTCTTCCTCTTATCTGCTTAATGTTGAGGGTACTGTGATAGAATACTTCATTGTTCCTTAATAGGAATGAAATTTTTTGTAGGAAGATTACAGTGGTTGCATAATTAAAATAGTTGGCTTCTGCTCACCTCTGTTTGAGGGGAGAGCCCTGAACATCAATGCCCTTCATTGTAGAGGGTATCTATAGTGACTGCACATCTGAATCACTGGCAGGAGGTGTGTGTGTTGGGGGAGGAGGTGGTGGTAAATAAAATACCCATGCCTTGGTACCACCTCACACCAATGAATCACAATATTTGACATCACTATTTCTTACAAGTTTCCCAGGTAATTCTAATAAATGGTCAGGACTAGAACAGTTAAGTTGAATCATGAACTGGGACTCAGAACCCTTGGCCTTGGATATTAGCTGTGAACTGGGGAGGTTGGTTAAGGGGATAAGCTCTGTAGTCAGAGACTGTGGATTTAAATTCTGATTCTGTCTTTCAAAAGTTCTGTGACCTTGACCAAGTGACTTCTCTAAGTCATTTTGTTTAACTATATGTTATAAAATGGTTCCCTTAAAACTTTACCTTGTTCTTTTGGTGTTAAGTTGTATCTACAAAATGCCAAGCATACAGCAGAGAACTGAGAACATAAGCCTTAATTACCAGAATGTTGGTTTAAATTTAGATTTAAAACCTGTGTATTTCTATATATTTGAGAAAATGTTTTTGTTTCTATGTTCCATAGCAGGCATGGTTACTCCAAGATGTCTGCATTAAGCTGATAAAAACCAAGAAGTGGGGCAAAACTGGGAACAGAGTAGAAGATCCCCAAAACTGAGTTAGAGTAGGCAAAGGCAGGGCCAGGGAGATTCCATACCAAAAAGGGAGTCTTCAGCAGTGCATTAAGTCTGGACATGTATGTAAGCCATAATCCACGCTGTGATCTGCACCAGGGACCCCCAAGCATTGTCAAAGAGCCAAAGTGCAGGAAATTAGAACAAGATAACATTGCATATTCTAGAATTTGCTACGTCCAGGTCCCACAAAAGGACTGATTTGTGAGTGTGCTAATACAGTTCTTCATGAAGCCATCTTTTGAGCCTCATTTCTGAGAACACAAGTATCTGTCACATTCAAAAGCACTTATAGGCTAAATCTAGAGAATTTGGCTTTAGAGCTATTCAGATTCTTGTCTATCTTTACCTTTCCCTATATGTAAGTCAGTGCATGACAGACAAAACAGCTCTAGTATGGTGAATGTGAAAAACAGGCTTCTTTATAGACCATGTTGATGAATTGGAAGACTCAATATTGTTCAGATGTCTGTTTTCCACAAGTTGGTCTATAGCATCAGTGAAATCCAAATCAAAACTGACACTTGTTTTACTTTCTTGGTAGAAATTGACCAATTGATTCTAAAATTAACATGCAAATGTAAAAAAAAAGAAAGAAAGAAAAAGAAAAAGAAAGGAAGAAAAAAGAAAATAACCTAGAATAGTCAAAATGATCTGGGCAGGATGGGAAGGAGTGATTGAAAGTTAGAGGACTTTCCCTGAACCCAAAATTTGTGGATTCCTTGATGGAAAGTTTGCCATAATAAAGCCTCATCTCATAAATAATCTGATTTCCACTTTTAAAGGAGTCTAATTACTTACAGCACATGCACGCAAAACAACAAAATAATAAAATGTATTTCTACTAAAATGCTATAGGACACAATATTCTTCTAAGTGCCACCCAAGGACTACTCTCTCCAGAATCACCTTTTGAGAGTTTCTCTAAGGTACAGATAGATGGACCTTTCCCAGACCTAATAAGTCACACCTCAGAGGTGGGCTCCAGGACTCTAATTTTCACAAGCTTCCAAGGCTGATTCTGATGTGCTCTAAAACTTGAAAACAATCCTCTTAGAATTTGATAGATTTTCCCCAAAACAACAGTGACTTCTTCCTATTTTAACAAGATTTTGGTATCAGTTAAAGAAGCAAGACTTACCTTCTCTGGAGGATGGTTATTTATGAGGGCTGTAGCCCTCTGGGTAAACACATTGGTTGAATACATATTTTTATATCCTGTTGCAACTTCTTCACCATCTCGAAAATCAAGAGCACATCGTGTGACATTCAAAGCCTCAATTAAGGTACAACGCTCATGAGAGTAGTAATCTTCACTGCCTAGGAGATATCCTACAAGAATGGAAGACAAGAATAGTCTGCATAGCATAAAGCTTGTTAAACTCATGTTTCAGCATTTAATTGCTTAATGCAATTGATTACTCATGACAAGGCTAATCAAACGACAAGGCTAATCAGAGCAACATTCCTTAACATCTCTATATTTGGTAGCAGAAGTCATTAAAATGTTATTGTGTAAAAATTCAAATCCATTCTCACTCAAGTCTTTACAAACACAGACTCTATCACGTAACTCTCAAAGAGAGTGGTTTCATGTAAATATGTTTTTAGAAGAACAGAGCTCAATTTCAGCAAAAGGGGTAAGATCTTACTCCTTTAAAGCTGCCTAGTGGCAAAAATAATATATGGTTAATATGACTTGTTGCAAGTTTTTCTTGCAAGGAGATCATATAAATAAGCACAGGATTCAAATAATGTCATCTGTTGTTCCTGAGGATGGGAAGCTGGCTTCCGGGTTATTTATAGCCCCTGCTCTCTAGGAGGATCATCTTCAGTCAGATGCTGACACCCACTGGTGAAAGATACAAACCTTTCCAAAGAAAGGCCCTCTACACAGCTGAACTATCAGTGCCAAAAGACCAAACTGAAGTGTGAGCACTGCACTTTGATTTTTCTACCTACAGTGATCTCAATTTTGCTCCCAATTTAAGCAGCATTAATTGCCTATCTCACAATTTAAACTTAAAGGTAAAAGAAAATGAATTTTCTCAACTAACAGTTGTTTCTGCAAAAGTTCTGTATTTTCCTAAAGTAATAAAATAAACTGTGCTGCCTATTATGCTTCTATGTACATAAATGTCAGAACAGGCAGATCTATAGTAACAGAAGATTAGTGCTTGCCTGGGGCTGCAGGGACTGGGGGACAGGGGGAGTGATGATTAACGCTGTTTGGTTTCTTTTTTGGGTGGTGAAAATGTTCTACAATTGAATTGTTATGCTAGTGGGGCAACCTTGTACATTTATTAAAAATCACTGAATTATACACCTTAATTGGAGAAACACTATGACACGTGATTTACACCTTGATAAAGCTATTAAAAAGAAACTACTGGGCTGTTAGCTATCTGCTGATATATATTGCTTATTCACTTTAAAATGATGACGAGAAAATTGGCCCAGCCCTTTCCCCAAGTCCTGAACTTTCTCTACAATGACAATTAAGAGCCTTACCCAGTTTACATAATAAATCAATTCTTTTTAATTAATTCCTTCTTTATCATGATCTAGTAAATTCAAGGTCCTGAATATAATTAAATCCTTGGTCTTAATGTATTTTTTGATATGGTAATCGTTCCTCCTGCATATATAACAGAAAAGGAAATCCAATATGTTTGCTAATTAATGTGCAACAGAAAAGAAAACGTATCCATGAAAATAATTTCGGCCCTAAGCTGGAAGCAGAGGCACACGCCTGTAATTCCAGCAGCTTGGGAGGCTGAGAGAGGAGGATCACAAGTTCAAAGCCAGCCTCAGCAAAAACTGAGGCACTAAGTAACTCAGTGAGACCCTGTCTCTAAATAAAATACAAAATAGGGCTGGGGATGTGGCTCAGTGGTTGAGTGCCCCTGAGTTCAATCCCTCATACCAAAACACAAACAACAACAACAAAAAAACATGAACAAACAAACAAAAAGAGTCATCAGGATGAAACTGAGGAAAATCTAAATAAACATTCTAGCTTCCCTTGCTTTGAGTTGATTTAAAAACCCCTAATTATTGGAGGTCAGACAGCTGAGCAATATATTATTAGTGGTGCACTAGCTGTGCTGTAGCTGAAAACTTTGATGGAAGCCACCTAATGGGCTAAGACTGTTCTCTGGCAGAAGTTGCCTTTTGCTTTCTTCCCTGATCTATGTCTTAATAAACAACTGCAAGGTTAGCTGTTCCCGAAAAAGGAAACTTTTTAATTAGTAACTCTTCTTACAGAGTTACAGAACCCAGAATTGGTGACGTCAGATAACTACAGCATGTGTGTCAGAAAAGCTGACTCCCACATTTATGACCCTGATCTGGGCCTGAGTCTAAAATCCACCCCGACATCCCAAAAYCCTTACATGAGCTTTGTATCTGAACCACCTAAGCAAGATGGACTTTTAGGACAAATTCTCCTCTTCAACCTGCTGACTTTCTTTCCCAGTCACTGTCTCTCTCAAGCTATCAGCTTCCTCATGTGGTAGCAGAACTGGACCTTTCTGGGTTATAAGAAACTGGACTTCTAGTTTGGGTTTTTCACAACTAGTGGATATTCGTTTGAGGAAATCACTTCCATTCCATATCTATAAGTGTAAACTATTTTTCCATCACTGGGAGAATATATGCATAGGATATGATTAGATGATGTATGATTAGATGATGTATGAGTTATAAATATTGAAATCATATTACAAATAAGGGAATTCCAGAAACAGAACCTTCTATTCACATGGTTGGCCACACTGAAACCAGGCAACCACGTGACTATCACACAGTGCTTTTCATCATAACAGCAGTTCCCAAATTTGAACTCAGATGCTGAGCCTAAAGATGATGGCAGCCTGTGTTTTTCTGGGAAAATTTGGAAAATGCTTTTTGAACAACTAATCAATAAAAATCTCATATCTTTATTGAGACACACAATTCATGATTATACAAGTCACCCATTTAAAGTATAYAATTCTTTGCTCTTTAGTGTATTCYCAGGGTTGTACAACCATCCCCCAATTACCTGTCTACTTTTCAAGTTGTAGCAGTAGTAACAGCTGTGTGGTCATCATCCTCTTCTTGACTACAAGCMTCCCTTCACATAATTATAGGGTGTTCAACTGTTTGGCTAAATCTAGGCAGGCTTCTTTATTTTCATAAGACAATTTTTTGTCCGACTGAATTTTTAAGTACATGACTTTGTTTTTAATAAAAAATTTCAAAATATCCACAGTCCATCCTCTTGCCAAAGCATACACATCAACTCATCTAAGAATGTACTAGCAGTTTGGTCCTCTAGAACTTCTAAGATAGCAAAGTGGTCATATACTCAAGCCTGATTTTCGGCAGCTATATAAGAGTACTGAAGATATATTCMGGTTCATCCAAAAAGAACATCATAGTTGATTAGTACTGTCTGCTGGAACACCTGGGTGGGAGAGCATACAAGTGCTCTCCTGTCTGATTTTTAACCCGAGAACCAGCAAAGCATGTGCTATGACCACACTGTTTTGGCCTCCATGCACATTCCTTTGTACCAAATTGTATTTTTGTACTTTGGCCCTAGCTTGAATGGAAGAGAACATCTCAAGGTGTATCTATAAGCAATTTATTACTAAAATGATATTTTTGAGGATGTTGTCCATTTTACCTGTCCCAAAGGAGAAACTTCTCTCAGGTCTAAAAGACAGAAAATGCTTTATTMTTCCTGCAGATCTTGTTTCCATTTATCTTGTGAATAATGTGACTCTTACAGATTTTTTCTTTTCTTCCCTTCCTTTCTACTTTTTTCTTTTTTACTTTGTACATAAGAAGCCTCACATCTTAGAGATGAATGTGAAGCCCACCTAGAGCCAGGAAGCTTTTTTTTGTAATCTGATGCCATTAAACTATTTTATCTTTTTCTCTTCACTCAATGTTGTTACTCTATTGAAACTTTTTATGTTCAGTGTGTGTTCCTTTTTTGGCTTTGGCAGGTTGTAAATGAACAAAGAAGCAGATGGGAGACAGGTAGACAGCAAGACAACTAGACAGAAAGATAGCTCAATATAAAAGAACCTGACAGAAAAATACATAGTTACTGGCAAGATATATAGGTTATTAATTAAGGCCCAGTTTAAAATAGGTTGAAAGAGGGCACATTTTAAAACAAACTTTAGGTTTCACATTTATTTTTATAGGGCTACCAAGTTCAAAAAAATGCTTATGATTTTCTTATTATCTTCCTATTACCATTTTTTATTTGTCCTCCCCAATTTATTATTATTGATTTTTAAGTTGATCTTCTGTAACCTAGTGATTCTAAAAACAGATCTCACAGATGGGAGAGAGACACCAATGGAAGAGTCTTCTCCCACCCTCTCCAGGGAGAGAAAAAAAAAGCCTGAATGTAGTCCAGGGAGAGAAAAAATATATGAACTTTTGTAAAGGAAATATTCTTTTTCTTTAATTTGTTCTAATTAGTTATACATGGCAGTAGGATGCATTCTGACACATTCTACACAAATGGAGCACAACTTCTCCTTCCTCTGGCTGTACTTGGTGCAGAGTCACACTGGTAGTGTAATCATAAGCCTATAGAGGGTAAGAATGTCCATCTCATTCCACAGTCCTTCCCCACCACATATATCCCCTCCCCTCTCCTCTGCCCAATCCAAAGCTCCTCCATCCTTCCCTACTCCCTCCCCTCATTATCTGCTTATCAGAGAAAAGGGAAATACTCTTGTATTTGGTTTTTGCCCATAATTTAAAATCAGCCTGCATCCCCTCTGGGGAAGGTTCTCAGAGGGCACAGTGGTCTCTGGTGTGTAGGTAGCAACTCTTCCAAAGCCCCAAGGTGGTGCTTAGTGCTCTGGCCTGCTGTGGGCACATGCCCAACTCAGGCTGGCACAGAGCCCTGTTTATAGAAGTAACATTAGAAAGCAGCTCCACTGCATTGATTCACTCTGTGTTCAAGTTTCCAGTTGTTTCAATTGATTACACTTGGGTGTGTTTTATGAGATGACTGCAGTGTCTGAGTCGTTAAAGAAACACAGGCATTTCCATTACCAAAGTAAGTGTCAAATCCTCGGCGGGTTGGAAGGCATTCTTTCCGGTACATTCCCAGGTGCCATTTTCCAACCATATGGGTGGTATAGCCTGCTTCTTTTAGAAGCTGGGGCAGGAGTTTTTCATCCAGTGGAACACAGCTGGGCTGACAAGGCCAGATTATTTGGTGCTGTAAACCTGTGTGTATCTTAAAGAGATAAACACAAAATTGTGGATTAGTGACATTGAAACATTGTAAACAAGTAAAGTGGCTGCCTAATTTATTGGACATATTTGTTGATTTGAAAGTTTAACTCTAAGCTGGTTTAAGAATGTTTCTGAAAGGCAGTTTACTCACTCAACTAAGGTAATGAACCTAAACTGGATTTGAAAAGATGAATAAAAGCATTCCAACAGAAAATATTTTAACATATATTTATCAAGGCAGTATGTCAGAAACCATTAACTCAAATTTTCACTTCCTAAAAAGAGGAACAATAATATGAGCTATGGCTCTATCAAGGAAAAAAATCCTGTGCACAGGAGAAGGTGATATTTGTCATCTTTGAAGATAGAGAGCTTTCTTTTGTAAAATGTTATTTAACAGTATAATGAAATTTAAGATTGGTATTTCTTATTCTACTTTGTGTAAACAATAATCTCAAAAGACAATGCTCAAATTTTCATTTAAAATGGCCCTTACTGCTTGGGAGAGGCTCACAGAAAGACACCCAGGGTAAAGCAACTAACCCTTAAGAAACAACCACTTGTTGAATTTWRGTATAATATCAAAATTGAGGGCTAGGGTTGTGGMTCATTGGTAGAGCACTTGCCTAGCACATGTGAGGCACTGGGTTCAATCCTCAGCACCAATAAAAATAAATAAATAAAATAAAGGTACTGGGGCTGGGGATATAGCTCAGTTGGTAGAGTGCTTGCCTCACATGCACAGGGCCTTGAGTTCAATCCCCAGCACCACAAAAATAAATAAATAAATAAATAAAAATAAAGGTATTGTTTCTGTCTACAACTAAAATTTTTTTTTAAATTGAATGTCCACAATTATATAAGTTCCTCAATTTATAAATGGGGTTACCCACCTGATAAACCTACAAGATGAAAATGCATTTAATACACCTAAACTACTGAACATCATAGCTTAACTTTGCCTACCTTAAATGTGCTCAGATCACTTACATTAGTCTTTGGTGAGATGAAATCATCTAGCACATAGTCTAATTGTTATCATTAAGGCTCATGTAATTTATTAAACACTGTACTGAAAGTGAAAAACAGAATGGTTGTATGGGTAACATTTTACACCACTGTAAAAAAAATAAATTGTGTGGAAGAATAAGAGATCCAGACTAACCAAAGCAGTCCTGAGCAAGAAGAAGGATGCAGGAGGCATCACAATACCAGATCTCAAATTATGCTGCAAAGGTATGATAATTTAAAAAAGCAGGATGGTATCAGCATCAAAATAGACCTGAAGACCAACAGAATTGAACAGAAGACACAGAGACAAACCCACATACTAAAATATATGTTGGAGAAGAGACAGCTTTTTAAACAAACAGTGCTGGGAAAACTGGATATTCATACATAGAAGAATGAAACTAGATCCCTATCTCTCACCCTACACAAAAGTCAAATCAAAATGGATGAAAGACATTACACCAGAAACCTTGCAACTGCTTGAAGAAATCCTGGGATCAACACTCCATCATACAGGTTCAAGTATCAACTCCTTAACAAAGAACCCTAAAGCTTAAGAAATAAAGCCAAGAATCAATAAGTAGGAGGCCATCAAATTAAAAAGCTTTTTCTGCATAGCAAAGGAAATGATTAAGATCATGAAGAGAACCTATAGAAAGGGAAAAATTCCTTGTCACCTGCTCCTCTGACAGGGGATTAATATCCAGAATCAACACCAAAAAACTGAATAATCCAGTCAATAAATGAGCAAAAGAACTAAATAGACACTTCTTAAAAAAAAGAAACACAAATATCCAACAAATATATGAAAAAAATGTTCAACATCTCTAGCAATCACACAGCAATGCAAATCAAAACTACACTGAGTTTCATCTATCTGAATGAACCCAACTACTATGTATAACTATAAAGCTCTAATAGTAAAAAAATAAATAAAATTTTTAAAAGATTTCATCTTGCTTTAGTCAGAATGGCAATTATCAAGAACACAAATAATAATAAATGCTGGTGAGGATGTTGGGGAGAAAGGCAAACTCCTACATTGTTGGTAAGATTACAAATTAGTACAATCACTCTGAAAAGCAATACGGACATTCCTCAAAAAACTAGAAATAGAACCACTGTGTGACCCAACTATCCTACTCCTTAGTATTTATCCAAAAGAACTAAAATCAACATACTATCACGACACAGCCACTTCAATGTTTATAACAGCACAATTCACAATAGCCAAATTGTGGAATCAGCCCAAATGACCATCAATAGATAAACAGATAAAAAAATGTGGTCTGCATACACAATAGAGTTTTACTGAATCATAAAGAAGAATGAAAATATGTCATTTGACAGTAAATGAATGGAAATGGAGAACATCACGCTATGTGAAATAAGCCAGACTCAGAAAATCAACAGTTGAATTTTTTCTCTCATAGGTGGAAACTAGAGCAGATTGAGAGAAAGAAGGTGGGCAGGCAGTGGGGTCAGATATCATAAAAATATAGGAATGATCAGTAGAGTAGATGAAAGAGATTGAGAGAGAAGGAAAGGGAAGGAAATGCAAGATGAATTTAACAAAATCATGCAATGTGCATATATAAATATGCCACAGGGAAGTTCACCTCTATGTATATGTAGAAAGTACCAATCAAAAATAAATAAATAAATGAATGAAAGGAAGATCAGTTGAATAGGGGGAGGAGAATGTGGAAGGGAGGAGGAGAGAGAGAAGAGAGGGAATGGGGACTTAAGTCAAATTCCACACATGTATGATTTTGTCAAAAGGCACCCAACTACTATGTATAAATATAATGCTCTAATAAAAAACAATATRCCTAACCCACTTAACATCATAGCTTAACTTTATCTAACTTTTTTTTAAACATCCTTACCTTTTTTATTAGTTGTTCATGGACCTTTATTTTATTTACTTATTTATGTGCGGTTCTGAGAATCGAACCCAATGACTTACACATGCTAGACAAATGCTCTGCCACTGAGCCACAAACCCAGCCCCAACTTTGTCTAATTTAAATGTGCTCAGATCACTTACACTAGCCTTTGGTGGGGAAAAAAAAATCACCTAACACAAAGTCTATTTATAATTGTTATCATTTAGGCTCATGTAATTTATTAAATACTGTGCTGAAATTGAACAACAGAACGATTGTGTGGGTACATTTTATACCACCGTGAAGGTGAAAAATCACAAACCCTCTACGTTGGGGTTGTCTATATATAAAAATTTTATTAAAACAACTGTCCCTTTTCCATAAAAAGGTAAACTACATATCTATGTAAGGACAGATTGTCTACATCATCTTCTATCAGAGCAATATATTTCGATAGACTGAATGGCAGGAAACAGCGTAACAATCTATCTTCCATGAACAGAAAAGATGTACAAAAAGTACTAAAATGATATCTCAGTCATTTTGTTTGGAAAAATACGGGGAGATATATATATATATATATATATATATATATATATATATATATATATATAATGGTAACATATAATGGGTTTATTATTGCTGGGGTTTTTAGTTGTTGTTTTTGTTTTTGTTTTTGGTACCAGGGATTGAACCCGGGGGCACTCCACCACTGAGCCTCATCCTTAGCCCTTTTCTATATTTTATTTAGAGACAAGATCTTGATGAGTTGCTTAGGGGCTTGCTAAGTTGCTGAGGCTGGCTTTGAACTCACCACCCCCCTACCTCAGCCTCCTGAGCCTCTGGGATTACACGTATGCACCATCGCACCCAGCTATTGCTTGTTTTAATTGAACAATTTTTATAATTTGTTTTCATTTCTGATATAGCAAATTTCAAATAGTATAACCCACATAACTGTACATTCTTTGGGTCCTTAATATTTAATCAAGTGCAGAGATCCTAAGATCAAAAAAGATTGAGAACTGATGCTATAAAACCTGATAATGATCTTTGCTATGGGGAAAAATAAAGTAGGAATGAAGTGATAGTGACAGCGGTGACACTTAAGACAGAGTGGCAAAAGAAGTTTCCCCTMAGGAGGAAATAGTTGAACAGTCAGTTGAGCAAAGAAAGAAGTGAGTTGAAAAATCTGGGGCAAGACCAATGCAGACCCAAGGAAAAAGAAGAACAAAGACTCCAAGAGCTTGGTGAGTTTGAAGGCTGGCACAGAAGCCAGGGCACACCTGTCACAGCTCTTGTACTGATGGATGCCACCACACCCCTGGTATCAGGTGTCCCCAAGGGCTTCCTTGCCTGCCAGCCCTTCCCTAAGACTTGACACCTGTCTCCCTCTTTGTCCTAGGCTCCCCATGGAGGTGCTCTTCTTTCTATGAAGTGACTGCACCAGATGTCAGCTTCCCTTAGCACTGGGTGGTCCTGATTTCCCAAGAATACACAGGGGTCTGGGAACACTGAGGGTGGAAAGCACCCGTTCTCAACCCAGGCACAACACTCTGGTGTCCCCATCCACTGCAGGTGTGTAGCAGGCATTCTGTTGCCAATAAATGGTGAGCATGTGTTTGCTAGTGATTTACTCGCTTTATAATTTAAAGCAAAATAGGATAAACCTCAGGGAATTAAATCCCATCCTGGCTCTATCACTTACTAGCTTTGTAAGCTTAGGCAGAGACTTCAGTGATTTACTAACTTCAGTAAATTAGAAAGTTAGGCTCAAATTCCTCAACTGTAAAAGAAGGAAATAATATTTATCTGCCTTCCGGGGTTGTTGGGACAATTAACCAAGGTAACATAAAATKCCAAGTATATTCTAAACACTCAACCATTGTCATTACACCAACTGTGAGTAATGTTATCAAAAACAATACTCCTTCTTGAGGAGGACGGTGGCCTTACAGAGATGTGCACATAGGCCTGGATCTGCCCTCTGTAGTGTGTTACGGTGCATCATATAAAATGTACGATCAATCTACTTTCCCATTGGTACTAACTAAATACTTATCTATTGCTAATTTTCTCAAATTCAAATACCAGTTACTCA